GTGAGAGGCGGGGTTCACCCTGGACAGGTCACCAGTCTGTCGCAGTCTTTCCCACATCTTTCTTTTTTTTTCTTTTTTTTATTATTATTTGCCACTAAGAAATTATTCAGTGGCTTTACTTCTTTAGGCAAAGATCTCTTGAAATAATAAAAAGTGGCTTCTGACAAAAAGAATCATTGCTGCTTAAGTGTTTGGAGGGTAAACACCACAGAGAAATGAATCCAAACATGAAGCAACACATATCAAATAGAAATGATTAGAAACCTGAAAGAGAAAAACTGCACCACTCTGTTTCCTAATATAACAACAAGTCATGCTGACAAATATTTATTCATATTTGAAAACTATTCATTTAGAGCAATAGCTTGAACTGATCCTCTTCAAATGATAGTTCAAAGAAAATTTTTGTTTCAATGTAGCGTAACATTAATATAATTGCTGCTCTGATGATTATTCAAAATTTCGGTATAGCAAAACAAGAACATTTACCTTCCTCAGCATTTTCCAAGTCATGTTGTTAGCTCAGGCTTTTTCATCTTATTGTTGCTTGAAGGTTTACTTTAATTTCCTTCTAAAGACTCTTATGTAAGGCTACTACACAAATAATATAATTATGATAGGTATAAACATATTAGTTAATAATGGTGTATTAAATATATATAAGGTGAAATAAATTTTTTCCCTTTTCCTTTTTGTCATGAGTTTTATTCTTCATAAATGCTACTGGATCCATTTTATGATCTTTTGGTTGAAGTTGAGGAATATAGTGATTAGATATTTATTTTTATTTTAACAACTTTTTTAAATGACTGTCAAGTCATTTTCTGAAGACTGGAAGTTTTAGCTGATTAAAATATCTATCTGATGTGAAAAAAAATCTTAATTTTTCAGGAATAATTATTGTATTATGGCGCTAGATAATAAAGAAAAATGACTGAAGGAAGAGGTCAATTATGTTTTACGTAACTGAAAAAAACATACATTTATATATTTCTTAATAAACACTATAGATAAATAAGCTAGTAAAAACAAACAAAGAAAAATAATCTAGTCTTCTTCATAAAATTCCTGACCTGTTCCTCATCCACAAACCAGAAATGTTATTCTACACAAAGAGGACATCACTGAGGTAGTTTATGGACATATTCAGTTAATCACACCATAAAAGCAAATTCTATATCCAATTACATCCTCTTTTACAAAAGAGGAAGAATGACTCAGGTTACAGGATTTCATACATCGACTAGAGCAGGAGCTTTTTAGATCTTTGCTCATCGACTGAAATTTACAGCCTTTATACAGCTGGTGATTGACCAGGTAAGAACATTTTATGAAGTTTACATATTTTGCAACTTTTAAAACAGAAAACTAACTTCTTGTCATTAAAATAGTTGAATTCGGTGTCATTATTTTTACTCTATTTTGGATATGTTATGTAACAATACATAAAGATGTATATATGGTTGAATGTGATTGTTTTGTAACACAGTAGGAAATGTATGTTCCTGACTACTTTCTAGTAAATCAGTTTTAATTCCCTGAAAGCTTTATTGAAAAATGTCTTTGATTAGAAACTGAAATGTTTCTGTTTCTGAAACCTTCTCCAGTTTGACAGATGAAGGTCTATCAGAGTCTGACTGAGAACATGCTGACAGTCAACATGTTACTGAGTGTCTTTTTTCTTCCAGGTGAGATTTTTATTCACTTCCTTTCATTGGTAGAGTTCATGTAAATCACTTCAAGTCTAAAATATTTGATCATGTTGTCTGTAGTCTCCACACGACAGAAGCTGCAGCTGAACTGGAGTTTATAGATCATGAACTTTCTCTGCAGGCAGATTTTCATCTTTATGTTCATTATTGGTCTGGTTTTCAGGTGCTTTGGCTAATTCCTGTGGTGATCTAACACCAGCCCTCAACATCATTACACCAAATATCACAGAAGCTCTGACTGGATCTTGTTTGCAAATCCCATGTACCTATGAAACAGAGGATCCTAGATATGACAGCAGTAAAACTATCTATGGAGTTTGGTTGAAAGGTGGTACTAATTTTGGGGCCAATCCAAGCCTTGTTATTTTCCACAGCAGTGGGTCAATTAACAACAAATATTCACTGAATATGACTGGAAACCTGAAAGAGAAAAACTGCACCACTCTGTTTCCTGATATACAAACAAGTCATGCAGACAAATATTACTTCAGAGTTGAGAACGGTGACTACAAGGCAACAGCTTGTGCTGATCCTCTTCAAATAAAAGTTAAAGGTAAGAACATTTTCACCATATAATGATATTATATGAAGATGTTCTGGTTATATTGTTAAGCTTGCGTACTACAAGTATATTTAATCTTTTTAAATTGTAGCTTTTAAAACCTTCTGTCACAATATGCTTTTATAGCCACTGCAAGAAGAGCTGACAAGTTTGATCCTTAATTCATTAGTTTGTGGCATTTTAATGTTTACATTAAGCTTTTCTGGAAATATATTAAGATATGCTCCAAATATTTATTATTTTATTAATGTAAGTCCAGAAAGTATCAGTTAACTTTAAGAAATACTGGCTGAATGTGTTGCAGATATAGACGTCATAGTTCTTTTGCTTGGAACAATTGAACAGTTTTGGAGCACATTCAAGCAAATCTTTATTTTGTACAATGAATGTGATTTAAATCTAATTTAACTTCCAGATTCTCCCCAGAGTCCCAGCATTAATGTTCCCTCTGACCTGAAGGAGCATCAGTCTGTCACTGTAACCTGCTCAGCTTTCACTCCCTGTCCACACTCACCTCCTGATCCCGCCTGGAATCTCCAACAAGCCTCTCTCAGACAAACAGAGAAAAACACAGATGGAACCTTTACAACTAAAATCCAGGAGCACATCACCCTGTCCGACACACATGATGGATACAACATCAGATGTTCTGCCAGATATCCTGTGATTGGAGGAAACAAGACAGCAGAGACAGAAATAACTCTCAGTGTCTCATGTAAGTAATCCTGTCAGCAGGTCATGGTTCAGCTGTTTGTGATCAATAAAGTTCATGTGTCTCATTTTCCTCAGATGCTCCTAGAAACACCTCAGCATCCATCAGTCCATCAGGTTTGGTGTCAGCAGGTAGCTGGGTGGAGCTGAGCTGCTCCAGCAGAGCCAAACCTCCACCCAGATTCACCTGGTTCAGGAACAGCAAACATGGAGCCACTAATGTATCTGTGGGGAAGATGTATGGATTCAATGCTACAGAGGGAGGAGAGTTTTACTGTGTGGCCAAAAACAATCTGGGAAATGAAACATCTTCAAGGATCTGTGTTAGTTTTAAAGGTAAATGTTATTACTTGTAGTTTCAAATAATGTCTGATTCTTAAAGTGTCTGACATTAGAAATGTAGATCAATAGCATCAGAAGCAGTTATTTTAAAAAACTCAGCACATACTGATCAGAATCTGTTCGATCCCATCTTTGGGATTTTTATTATCTGTTACCTATAATTTGCCCTTGTTTCAAGGTGTGATGGTTTTCCAATAACTGCAATTATTTGAAAAGCAAGCACTGAGAGCACAGATTTAAAATCAATTCAGTTTTTCTCTGATCCACAAATGAATAAAATTATTTTTCAGATGGTTTTGCCATTACAATTAATTTTTGACCACTGTTGTTATTAAAAATGGTAGATTTTAGTCTAGAAGAGTTAGAGACCAATCCATAAGCACAATGTCAGTCTTCTTTATCCATTTAAAATTATATTATGATGTATGTTAGAGATCAATGTTTGTCATTCGCTCAGCTGTGGTAAAGCTTCATTAAACAGACTGAAAGTTTCATTTCTGATGACATAAATAAGGATGTTTTAAGATGTATTCTGCAACTGTCAAACTGTAATCCTGTCAGAAACATGGTGTTATTTTTCACAGTGAAACACGTTTCAAATTAAAATAGATTAATGAAGTATTCAGAAAAACAAAATAACTTTTTCTAAGCTATAAACTTGTATGTGCAGCCAAGAATATGTCAAATAATTTTCAAAGAAATTTTTAATGTATATAGGCGACAAAGACTGAGCTGTTAAGACATTATGAGGCTTTAAAAGCAAAGAAACACTAAAAACACTGCAATTATGGTTTTGACAATGAGTGTTTGATATGTTTTTTCCACATTTGTAATAGAAAAGCAGCTACTCGTAGTAAATGCCTGGATTTTAGATGCAATATGGTGTTTCAACAGGACCATAATATTGAACTGATATGAAAAATGTTTTTTCAAAGGTTAACACAGTTTAACACTAATTATTTAAAACATGATGTTTATCTAAACTGGTTCTTCCTCACACTAATAATATGTTTCATATTTTTTGTCCCAGATTCTCCTTGGAGTCCCAGCATTAATGTTCCCTCTGACCTGAAGGAGCATCAGTCTGTCACTGTAACCTGCTCAGCTTTCACTCCCTGTCCACACTCACCTCCTCAACTCACCTGCAATCTCCAACAAGACTCTGTTGGAAAAACAGAGAAAAACACAGATGGAACCTTTACAACTAAAATCCAGGAGCACATCACCCTGTCCGACACACATGATGGATACAACATCAGATGTTCTGCCAGATATCCTGTGATTGGAGGAAACAAGACAGCAGAGACAGAAATAACTCTCAGTGTCTCATGTAAGTAATCCTGTCAGCAGGTCATGGTTCAGCTGTTTGTGATCAATAACGTTCATGTGTNTCATTTTCCTCAGATGCTCCTAGAAACACCTCAGCATCCATCAGTTCATCAGATTTGGTGTCAGCAGGTAGCTGGGTGGAGCTGAGCTGCTCCAGCAGAGCCAAACCTCCACCCAGATTCACCTGGTTCAGGAACAGCAAAGATGGAGCCACTAATGTGTCTGTGGGGAAGATGTATGGATTCAATGCTACAGAGGGAGGAGAGTTTTACTGTGTGGCTTCAAATGATCTGGGTCAACAAAAATCCTCTGTGATCCTTGTTGGTATTAGAGGTAACACATTAACTTACACTCATCTTCTCATGTTGTTCTTGTAGAATGATTCTATTTGTTTCTATGTGTGTCAGATTTTTAAAGCAAATTTTAAACATCAAAACATTCTTTTTTTTTTAATCGAAAGAATTGTGAGGATTTACTTAGATATCTTTCTTGTTACAGATGATCAGGTGTTTGGATTCACATCTCATATTATACTCAAGATCCTGGGCATTGTATTGCTCTGCATTTGCATCATCAGCTTTGAGTGGTGAGATTCTCTTCTATGAGTTGATACTTTGCAGCTGCTGTTAGATGTTGGTGTCTAAATAGTTTTCGTTCTTTCAGCTGGTTCAGATTCTCCAAGAAACCAAAAAAGGTAAACTTTCTGAGTTTATTGTTTGCATCATAACACATACAACACAACATAAATGGTTCAGGCGACATTTAAAACATCCAAGTGAAATTTTATTTAAAAAAAGTTTTATTTCATGTCACACAATTTTATAAATGGTTAAAGTCAATATCCAGTGTCCTTATCATCAGCTCATGCAGTTATTTACCATAAATGATAAATATTCTGCATAGACATAATAGTTAAACTTCTAAAATTAGAGGCTAGAGTGAGTTACATTCCCTCAAACACATCCATACACTGATGCACAGGATCATTAGGTAACTTAGGGTTCGATCTTATCCAGAGACACTTCAACATATGATGAAATGAAGCTGGAATCCAACTCAAAACCAAATTTCAGAAGATTATCACAAAACTACAACTTACCATCTCATTCTGCTTTTAATTTGGAATCCAGTGAGACTGAAAAAAACGAGATCAACTTTTATTACCTCTGAAACAGTTTGAGCTCAAGTACATTTACTGTAGGGAAGCAAAACACTGTTAGTTTTTCTGTCCACAGGAAACAGAAGAACCAGCCTATGTCAACAATGTGATGGCGACTACAGCATCATGAGCCTCAAGGAGACCAGAAAGAAGTCAAGGCCTCTGTCAGAGAGAGGATTCATTTCTATCTCTCCATTAATCTGTCCAATAGTCAAAGTTTCTGTCTCAAGAAGCTTATTTCTATCTGCAACCGCTGGATTCACCCTGAATGTGTCACCAGTCCATCATATCACCATTTATTGTGCCTTAGAAATCATTTATTTCTTGATAAGTGGTTTACAATCACTTATCACGTGATTAGAAATCTTAACTATGGTTTTACAATTAAACTTGTTACTAATGTAGTAAATAGTAATACTTTGGTGAATCACTGAGTTATAAAACAAAAAAAAAAATGTTACAAAAATAACATTCTAGGTTGTACAAGTGAAGCAGAAGTCTTGCTGAATGTAACATTTTTATCAATGAAAAGAAGACAGGTTTTTAAAAATGATATTTCTGTTTATTACTGCTATATATTATTTTTTTCACGGTTGTACAAGATGTAAAAGGCAAAAATGTGAAACGTATATATTTTTTTCCAGTCTTGTATTATTTAATTTCCACACATGCACATGTTGTCATGAGTTGTGGTGGTGAGAATGACCGCTGACTACCCAGGTTGTGATGATGAATGTGGCTCAAAACAGTCCAGACCAGGCAGCACGGCAGAGACAGTAGCACACAGCTAAATACTGGTAGCAACTGACAAAAGACTGAACACAGAGCAAGGTAGCCTCAGGACTATCCAGTTCAACTGAGGACTGACTAAAGGCAACAACTGACATAAGACGAGGACCCGACAAGAGACAAAGACAACAGATGGGTTTAAATACACATGGATGGTAATCAGTAAAACTAGACACAGGTGGGATCAATCATCAGGGAGGACAGGACATCACAGAGGCTCACGGAAACAAGGACACAGAAAAAACCAAGAAATAAATACACAAAAACACAGATCGTCACACATGTCAGATTGAAAAGTTTTTAAGGTTTTTAAGTAAAACTACTTCTCATATTTGCCTGAATGAGAATTTCAGTGGATGTTCTTTCAGTTGCAGTTTCACCAAAAGCTAACAGATTTGGACACAAGAAGATTTCTTCCTCATGCTTTCACAAAGGTTTTGATTTAATACGTGCAGAATGGAGTTTAGTACTCTTGTGTAACAGGAAGTAAAGCTTTCATCATTGATTCATTTTGAATATTTGCATATGTTGAAAGCTTCTTGTTTTTGGTGTTTTGATTTGGCAACTTGTCCTGAGTAAATTCATCCCTTCTCTTTTTGCATTTTTTGTTTTTTTTCCCCAACATGTTTAGTTTGCCGCTGGGATGTAATTAAGTAGCTTCATCACTTTCTGTAAAGATTCTTTGAAACAATAAAAAATTGATTCTGAAAAAAGGAGTCATTGGTGCTTAATTTTCTGGAGAAACAACTGTTGACAAAACTGGTAAGAGCCAGAATCATGATTGATTTAATTGAGTTTAATTATTCAAATGGGACAGTGCATATTAACAAATATACAATGTTGTCAAAATGAGGTATGATGGAAGAATCTGACAGTGAACAAAAACAAAAAACAGCTTAAATACTGAGGCAGAAGTGGAAAACAAGGAACTAATCAGAGGTGATGTAGAACAGCTGTGGCAGAAAACAACAGGAAAACAAAAGGAGAGACGTGATCAAGTAAAGTTGAC